CAGCCATTTTTCTGTGTTCATATTAAATGACAACATTACCATGAAACCTTTCTTCATCCCATAGCTGATTTTAATATCCCCCTTTCTGAACCCTTCATGGTACTTTGTTTCCTTTTTTTGTGGCACTTAACCTTGTATTAGTGTATGTTATAATTTTGTGTTATCTTTGCTTGCCACCTTTATATTGCAACTCTGAATTCCACTCAGTAGTGCTTTACTCATAGTGGTTGCTTAATAAGTGTGTTGTCAAAAGAAATAAAAGGAAACTTTTTTTAAGACTTCACAAATTTTGTTTAAATGTTATAAAAAAGTGATTAACCAAATGAGACCTTGGAGAACTGCAAGGTGCAGGTTGTTTAAAATTGAGAGAGGTAGGAGACAAACTAGAGTAGAAATAAGTCATCAAGGTGATGAAGAAAAATGTTTCGATAAATTAAGAGTACATTTTGCTTAATAGTTCTTTAAAAAGCAGAGCAACAAAAAAGTAAACTCAACTAAAGGCTGGCAAGTGGTATATGTTATTAGAAAATTTTCTGCTTGAAGATAGCTTTTTTGTATGGTCTCCTGAAATTAGGCTGAAATTCTCAATGTAGCAGGCAACAAAAATTCAGTTGATTAACAGTCTTATTCCATGTACAGCCTTACTTATTCTTGCATGTAACATAACATTTATATTTTCTGGAGATGAGGACATGGATGTGTTTGGGAGGCCTTTATTCTGCCTACTGTACCACGTAAGTTGGGTAATAGGCAGTTGGAAGTTCGTTATTAAAGTGCAGGAGGAACATAAATTTGTTTCATAGACTTTATTAAGCTCATACTCTGTGCCAGTACCTTGCCACATCCTGGGGCTATAAAGATGCAGTTCCTGTCTATTAGCTCTTGGTTAAAAAAGTTATGCATATGTAAATAATCTTAACATACCAAGGACCACGGTGAAGGTCGTCACGAATCACAGTGCATATGTTTTAATAACAATTTGCTTTGAGAACATGGTGGGAAAGGACTCTTCAGGTCTACTCTAAGGTACCAAGAAGAGACCTTGGTACCTTGAGGGACTGCAGATAGTGCCATATGCCTGAAAAAAGGGGGGTAGGGTTTATGTGAGGGAGGGATAATTATGAAGGATTTTGTATGCAGCATTACAGACTTTATCTTATATGCAACATGGGAACCACTGGAGGCTTTGCATTTTAGAAAGAACAGCTTTTGTTTGTTTGGTTTTGGTTTTCTCTTTTTTGTAACATGGAGAATGGATTGGAGAGAGCAAGGCTGAACACATGGGTATCAATTAGATTACCAACTAATATAGGTAAGAGACAAGGGCCTACACTAGATAGCTTATTGCAAAGAAGTTGAAAAGGGAAGAGATTTAAGAGATAATTCAGATTTAAGAATAGATTGATAGGACTTGATGGCTATTAGATTTGGAAAGTGTGGAGTCGAAGGAGGAGTAAAGATTTTTAGCTTGAGCAACTGGTTAGATGTTAGTGTTATAAGCAAGATAAGGAACATAAGAATCAGAGTAGTAGGTTTGTGTTGAAGATAATGACTTTGCTTTTGGATCTGTTGAGTGAGAGTTAAATCCAGGTGATATGGTTTATAGGTAGTTAATTATTTCAAATGGAGCTTAGAAAAAAGTTGAGGTTATAGATACAGATTAGGAGTCATTGGGAAGCATAGGTGATATTTATTGAAACCGTGGGATCGAGTGAAATTGCCCAGGGAGAGAAAATAGAGTAGGAGGACCTGTAAGAACAGCTGTCCCCAACCTTTATGGCACCAGGGACAGGTTTCGTGGAAGACAATTTTTCCACAGACCGGGGTAGGATAGGGGGTCGGGGTATGATTCAGGTGATAATGCAAGCGATGGGGATTGGCAGATGAAGCTTCACTCGCTCGCCCGCCACTCACCTCCTGCTGTGCGGCCCGGTTCCTAACAGGCCGTGGACCGATACTGGTCTGCGACCCTGTGGTTGGGGACCCCTGTATAAGAACATTAACATTTAAGTGTAGATGGAGAAAGAGGAGCCCAGGAAAAAGAAGAAATGATCAAAGTTAAAAGCAGAACTAAACTGGCATCTAGAAAGCTGAAGTGTAAGTAGGGATGATATCCATTGTCATATTCTGCAAAGGGTCAAGTAAGTAGAAGACAGATGAGGCCCTTGTTCTTTTTAACAACCATGGAGGTAAGTATTCTCATTATGTGAGGAAGCTGAACTGAGAGATGTCAACTTGGAAAAGGCTGCATGCACATCTAATAAACAGGGTGGAGCTAAAATTTAAATCAAGACAGTTTGATTTCAGAATCTATGCTTTTAACAACTATCTTATTTTATTATTTTAAACTTTGTTTTCTTCCTTTTGTTAATCATAAAATAGTAGTTTTTAATCTCATTTTGAGTCTGCTTCATTTTGAATTTAAAATTATAGACATGTCCTCTTACTTGGTATGATTTTTATTGAATATAAGGATGTTAAAACATCCTCTGGCCAAGAGGTGGCTTTATGGGACAGTCCTTATACTTAACCAGACTGACATAGAATGCTTGCTAAATCTTTTGGGGGGATGGTATTTTACATTTAAATGTGGGAAATGTTCAATATAACCGATATGACTACTTTGTTGAGTACTAGAAACTTTTTAAGAGAATTATAATACAAAGCATTTGTAAGTGCCATGTAGCTAAAAGTAGATAAATCTTACATATTTTAAATTGAGACTACCAGAATATTCCATAACACTTTACCAAATATAGATTTGGTATTGTATTGCTAGCTATTTTCAACCATTGTCATGGTAACTCTTTGTTACCTGCTTTTCCTTTGTAAACATTGAAACTTTTTCTCCCTTTCCTGACTCTTATGTATCAGTTTTCCCTTTTGTCTGCCTAATTTTAGATTTAGAAATTATTAAGCCACATCTCTTTTATGGAATGCTAGATATGGTGTTCTTTGTTAAATAGTTAGTTATAGACCTTACCTTTCAGTAGCATACGAGTGATGTTAAAAAAAGAGTGCCTTAGTTAATTTTCACTGGGTATATTCACACTCAGAGGATGCAGTCTCAAGTCTTTGTTCAAGAAGTGAAAGGATAATAGTAACTTTTAAGATAGTCTAATAAATGTTACGCATTTATTTATCTGGAAGAAAAATGTAATTTTTGAGTTATGTTTTACCTACCTAAAAATCTGCTAAAGAAATGATTTACAATATTTGATGCCTTGTTTTTTTAAATTAATTCCAGTGACCAGATCTTTATGTGATTTCATTGATCTCAGTACCTTTTGCAGCATTTAATGGCTTTTCTAATGTGTAACCATCTTTTAAGGTGTTCCTTGTGAATAAAAGATAATTAAGTGACCAGCTAACTTGCAGGAGTTATTAAGATACACTTAGTCTAGGTAAAATCTGAAGTTTTCTATAAACTGTAAGGAAAATAGCCAAATATAAGGGCAGTTCCATTTATATAATGATGACATGCTTGTAATTTATTATTGCAGTGGCTAGGTTAGAGATTAAATTAAGAACCAATGGAAAATCAGTTGGTCCCACTAATTACAGATAAATGGTGATTTGAAATACTTAGCTGTATGAAAACACTGTCATCTGAAATATGTATTCAATAAATGTGAACTATCAACTTACAGATATTATTTTACTTAATTCTCGTAACAATTCTGAGTTAGGATATTATTATCCTAATTTTACAGATAAAGAGACAGAGACTGAGTGAAGTTAGCCCATCTGTGGTCTTGTAGCTGCAACCAGGATTCTAACCAAACCTTTTTTGACCGCAGGGCCCAGGTTCTTAACTAGTAGACTAGATTATAGTAAACTGAAATCTGATGCTCAAGCTGTACTTTTGATTGCAATGAACTTTTCATGAAAATCTTTAACTGTCAAATAGAGTCCAAATCTAAACTATTTTGCTTCTGGAAGTATGCATTTTTTTACCAGTCATGCCAATTAAAATTTAACTTCTTTAATTTTAACCTACAGTTTCAGGATTTGTGATAATTTAAGGTGATATGTAGAATTAAAAAGCTAGAAGTGCATCTTTATTTGAGCTCTTACCATCGACATTCAAGGAAGATATTGGTGGGTATGGGGAATGACAGAATTGAATTTTATGTTATCGAGTAGGCAGGGGATCATGAAACTTTCTGTAAAGCACCGGATAGTAAATATAGTAAATGGCTTTGAGAGCCATATGGTCTCTGTTGTAACTATGCAACTCTTCTAAAGTAGCCATAGACAGTATGTAAACAACAGCGTTATTGTGTTTCAAAAAGAGGCAGCAGCCTGGATTTGGCACATTTGTCCACTCTTGTAATTTTTACAAGAAAAAGATAAGATTTGTTTATGATAATATATTGTTTATGCAGAGTGGAAGTTTTCCTTTGTAAACTGTATTGGCAAAAAAAGTTTACCCAAAAAGATAGCAATAGTATAAAGGAGAATGGGAAGCTAATGGTACCTAATAGTAAAGAATACTTTTTCAGCATTTCTATGACTACTTTAATTACTTCATAAATACTTGATAATTACAGAATATACTTATTTACTCATTTCTTAGCATTACCATTTTTTTATCTTGAAAAAACAATTCTCCAGTTTTCACTGGCGTTTTCACTAATTCTGATAAACTTTCTTTATCATAACTTGGGAAGGATTATTGTAAAAAGATATGATGCATAACTGGGTGACGATTTTATTTTATTTGAATTTATTTTGGAAAATAATATCAGCAGGTAGACTTAGATCAAGGCTTGTTGTGTAAATATATACATGTAGTTGAATTGTAGGTTCAGAAGTGGAGTACTCTACAGTCAGCTTTCAGTGTCACGTTTTATAGATTTCTTATTACAAGTAGTTTTGACCCTACAGATGCTTTCTAGTGCCACAAAACATTATTAAATGTAAGTCATTTGTGATATTGACTAATGGTGGTATGTTGGATGTTGAACCTAATACATACTTTTTATTCTTATTCTCAGAGATTCGTCAGCGACCTGCAGCTCAAAGAAACCTTTCTCCAGCACCAGCAGGCTCTAGCCAGGGCTCTCCCCGCAAAGTTCCAGTATCTCCTGGACCACCAAAGGACACTTCGGCCCCTGGTGGACCCCCAGAAAGAACTGTTATTCCAGCGCTGTCGTCAAATGTGTTACCAAGACGTTTTGGATCCCCTGCTACTTCAGTGCCTGGAATGGGTAAACAGAGCACTTAATGTTATTTACAGTTTATATTGTTTTCTCTGGTTACCAATAAAAAGGACCATTTTCAGACAATATGGAAATGGCATTTCATTTGGAAATAGCAGAGCAGTTATCTGATTAAGCAGGAGTTCCATATTCAATTAGCCATAACTCTTTACAGCTGGCACCTTGTGATACTGAAACCTATTTCTTGAGCTCATTTAACTGTTATGGCTTCTTTGTTTAAATGGCAATAAAACTTTGTAGTATTCTGTAGTCAACAGTATAGCATATCTTTTTATATTCAGCTTTAGAATGGTCCCAGATTTATATAAAATGACGATAGAAGAGAACATTTTTGGGATATATTCGTGGTTTTTGCTAGCCCCTTCATATTTTAAAATATGACAATTACTTAACATATTTCAGGAAGAATATTCATGTGTTGTGGTGTATAATACTACTAATGTTAATGTGGGCTTGGTAGATTTTTCTTTTTTTAAGCCATAGAACCTTAGTATTTTCTGAAAGATACTTTAACATAAAGTTCTATTGAATTAATAACATACTGCCTTTACTACTATTTCATTTCTTTGGATTCTCTTTTTTCAGTGCTGTAGATCTCTAGGGGAAGACCCCATTTTTGGAATGTAATAGATTATATTACCCTGCAGCTTTCTTTTGGAGTGTGATTGGGACATGGAAGTCCACTACATCAGCAGATCACATTAGTTTATGTAGATTTCCATGTCTGATTATTGAATATGATAGTAAATTATTTATCTTATTTTAGAATATTTAATTTTAATTTTGATTACTTTCATATTTCATGACTAATTACATATAATTTATAATGATTTTGAGGCTAGTTAGTAGTTGATATCAGGTATTCAGGGCACTTATGTAATAAAATCAATAAGCAATCTAAATGTTACTAATGCAGTAGACATTTTTTCCTGCTTTTTCTTCAAAAAAAGCAGCATAAGATTTTAGAAAACTAGAAAACTATTAATTTATAAATACATTAAGAAATCTAGCTACAAATGAAATGAATACAAAACATAACTTTTAATTATTGGTTATTGAAAAAATACTTTTAAACTTGACGTATAATGATGTCACTCAAGGCAGCCATATATTTTGTGAAGTTGAGTAAATTAAAGTGATTGAAAATTATTCATCTTTCAGTTGTTATCTAGTTGATCCAAGATACCCATATTTGTAAAGTAAAGCTCTTAGTTGTTTAGCGAAAGAACATTTTTTTGTGAGAATGCATGAGTTATATACATTTGTGTAACTAGTTTTAAAGAAATTAAAGTTTAGCAATTTATATAAAATAATAAAAATTATATACTAGCACATGTAAGAACAGGATTATAGCAGGAGCAATGGCCTACCATTTCATGATCATGTAAATATAACATATTTTACTGAAGTTTTTAATTAGTTTCTGTGTAAAAGACTTTGTATTTAAGTTGTACATTGCCAAAAGTATGAATGAGTTAAGTGATTTCTTACAGAGAAGATTAATAATTCATATTTCCATTATGCCATATTTGTGGAAGAGAATCAATTTAATGTGTATTACCACAGGGCTCCCATATGTTTGGAAATTAATAACCAGCAGGTACTTGATAATTTGCCAAGCTGTGTAAAAATGACCAGTATTCCTACAATGATTGCTCTTGATGTTTTTATTAATTACTGTTACCCGTAACAGCATGAATACAAAGATGTGTTATTTTAAAAGTTATTAGTATGCAAGGGAGTTAAGATAGTTTTATGAAATCTGTTGTTTTATTTATCCAGATTCCTTTCTGGACATTTTCATTTTAAACATGTAGAAGTAAAATACTCCAGCAAAAGTTAAGTTGGCTTAAATGCTTTCAAAATCTAATTTGGCATGTTTATTCAAGTTGAAAATTTGGTAGTGAGGGATGACACTTAATGTCTACATTCAAGTTAATGTTTTGATGATAATGATTGAATGTTGTTAGTACAACTATACCAATAACTGATGAAATCTGAAAAATGTACTTGATTTGTAATGCTAAAAACTTATTCTAGAACCTAAATTTCATTTACTAGCTATAATTCTACATCATTTGCCTTTTTAAAGATGGTAACAACCTTTAGATTTGTGATTATTTACAAAGCAAATCTCTTTGTTTTCTTTTAACATATTAATATCATATTACTGCCCTAAAGCCATTTTTTAATGCTTTAAATATTTGTCACAGCCATTTTGAAAACCTTTTATGCATGTATTGCAGGGTTTATTCCAATAAGACCGCATTTTGTTTCAAAGTCTTCTACGAGGTCTCCACGTAACCTCCATTGCTGCCTATCTTACTCTTATCTGTCCTTGTTTTACAAAGGCAAACATCACATCTTATTTATTTTATTCTCTCACTTTCTTCTCAGTGCCTTCTGTGTAGTCTCTCAGTTCAGAGTATCTCCTGCACACAGTTCTGTTTCAGTTTTCAGAGACTGTGGAGTTAACAATTCATAAAGTTTGAATGTGCATTCTTTGTTTTTGTTGCTACTGTTTTTATATGATGTAATCATTAACTAAATTCTGGGTTATTCCTCCACTCCCCACTCTCTATTCATCTCCTCTGATACTGGCTAATTTATTACATGAACACAATGTATCTCTATTTATTTAGATCTTCTCTAGTTTCTCTCAACAATGTTTTGCAGTGTTCAGTATATAGGTTTTGCACCTTTTGGGGTTAAGCGTACATCTAATTTTTTCATGTTTTTATCATATTTTAAATGATATTTTATTAACTATTTCCATTGTTCATTGCTAACATATATAGAAATAGAGTTGATTTTTGTATATTGATCTTGTATCCTGTAATATTGCTAAACTCACTTGTTAGTTCTGATAGCTTTTTTTCTTATAGATTCCATAGTATTTTCTACATAGGCTGTCAGATTGTAAGTAAGGACAATTTTACTTCTTTTAAAATCTGGATTCCTTTCATTTCTTTTTCTTGCCTTATTATACTAGCTAGAACCTTTAGTGCAGTGTCAAATAGAAGTGGTGAGAGCAGACATCCTTGCCTTATTGCTGATCTTAGGAGGAGAGCATTTACTTTTTCTTCATTCAGCCTGATGTAAGCTATAGGGTTTTTTTTTTTAATAGATATCCTTCGTCAGATTGAGGAAGTACCCTTCCAATCCTAGTTACAAAGGTTTTTATCAGTAAAAGATGGTGGATTTTGTCAAATGCTTTTTCTGCATCTATTGAGATGCTCATGTAGGGTTTTAGTTTGTTTTTTTGTTTTAACATTCACTATTTCATATGGTGAAATACACTGATTGAGTTTTTAAAAATAAATTTATTTCTTTATTTTTGGCTGCATTGGGTCTTTGTTGCTGTGTGTGGCCTTTCTCTAGTTGCGGCAAGTGGGGGCTTCTCATTGTGGTGGTTTTCTCTTGCTGCGGAGCACAGGCTCTAGGCACAGGGGCTTTAGTAGTTGTGGCACGCAGGCTCTAGAGTGCAGGCTCAGTAGTTGTGGCACACGGACTTAGTTGCTCTGCGACATGTAGGATCTTCCCAGACCAGGGATCGAATCCATGTCCCCTCCATTGGCAGGTGGATTCTTAATCACTGCTCCACCAGGGAAGTCCCTGATTGTTTTTTTGTTTTTTTGTTTTTGCGGTATGCGGGCCTCTTACTGCCGTGGCCTCTCCCGTCGCGGAGCCCAGGCTCCAGACGCGCAGGCTCAGCGGCCATGGCCCACAGGCCCAGCCACTCCATGGCACGCGGGATCCTCCCAGACCGGGGCACGAACCCGTGCCCACTGCATCGGCAGGCGGAATCCCAACCACTGTGCCACCAGGGAAGCCTCCTGATTGGTTTTTTTAACATTGATTTTTTAGATGTTAAACCACCTAGCTTTCCTGAGGTAAATTTCACTTGGTCATGATGTTTTATTATTTTATATATATTGTTGGGTTCAATTTGCTAAAATTTTGTTAGAAATATTTACATCAATTTTCCTTAGGGATATTGGTCTGTAGTTTTGTTTTTGTTTTTTCTTGTAATTTTTTTTTCTGGTTTTGGTATCAGAGTAATGCTGGCCTCACTATGAGAAGGTATTTTCTCATCTTTAATTTTATGGACAAGTTTGTGTAGAAATGGTATTATTTCGTTCTTCGAATTTTATTTTTTAATAGAACGCGTTCTATTAGTTATCTATTTTATACATATTAGTGTGTATATGTCAATCCCAATCTCCCAATTCATCACACCCCCTCCCACACACCAGCTTTCCCCCCTTGGTGTCCATACATTTGTTCTGTACATCTGTGTCTCTATTTCTGCCATGCAAACCGGTTCATCTGTACCATTTTGCTAGATTCCACATATATACGTTAATATACAATATTTGTTTTTCTTTTTCTGACTTACTTCACTCTGTATAACAGTCTCTAGGTCCATCCACGTCTCTACAAATGACCAAATTTCGTTCCTTTTTATGGCTGATATTCCATTCTATATATGTACCACATCTTTATCCATTTGTCTGTCAGTGGGCATTTAGGTTCTTCCATGACCTGGCTATTGTAAATAGTGCTGCAGTGAACATTGGGGTGCATGTATCTTTTTGAGTTATGGCTTTCTCTGGGTATATGCCCAATAGTGGGATTGCTGGGTCATATGGTAATTCTATTTTTAGTTTTTTAAGGAACCTCCATACTGTTCTCCATAGTGGCTGTATCGATTTACATTCCCACCAACAGTGCAAGAGGGTTCCCTTTTCTCCACACCCTCTCCAGCATTTGCTGTTTGTAGATTTTCTGATGATGCCCATTCTAACTGGTGTGAGGTGATACCTCATGGTACTTTTGATTTGCATTTCTCTAATAATTAGTGATGTTGAGCAGCTTTTCATGTGCTTATTGGCCATCTGTATGTCATCTTTGGAGAAATGTCTATCTGGTCTTTTGCCCATTTTTTTATTGGGTTGTTTGTTTTTTGTAATATTGAGCTGCATGAG